ACCCATTTTTCGAGCCAGGAAAAATTGGGGATGCGATGCACCAAGCCATGGATAATGTTCCGGAACTAAGTTTTTCGCGACGCGTCGTCCGATCGCGCCTTTTGCAGAACCTTGGTAAAAATTGGCGGTAGAATCTGTGTTCCAAAATACCATAGACCTACAGCCGGCTAGGCTGTAAGATTTCCAATAGCTTCTATAGCCGGCTACACAATTTCCCATAGCCTTTTATAGCCGATGGCGACTAAGCAAAAGCCAGGCGATAAAGTGTATGCTAAACGTTACTAATTACGGATGCTAGGACTTAGTGAGTTTTTGGACAACTGCTCTCTTTTTGGGCCGTAGTGTCTTGATTTATTCTGCGAGAAAAGCTCCGTACTTTTGATGGATGCCTGCCATTCCTAATATATTAGAGCGCCTTCAGTTTCGTATGATACTGTGCAATACCTCTGGTATGAAATAGTTGCTTCAAACGCCGTGGAAGGCTGTGGCGCAGCAGGCGGGCAGCCAACGCGGAACGCGCATTGGCGCCTACAAACCTAACAGGAATACTTCACGCGTTGCGCAATGCGTGAAGTATCCCTGTTAGGTTTGTAGGCGCCAGTGCGTCGCCGCTCCGCTTTGTGTTAGACTCTAATATTTAATCTGGCGGAGTCAGCGTTATTCAACTCACGATTTTGAAATGTTTGCACACTCGGTATGACCTATTCTCATTTTAATTGATGGAAAAAAAATATGTATCAAAGGAAAATATAATGTGTGTTTTGTAAATATTAAGGTGGTTCCATATCAAACTTAATGATTTCCAAAGCATACGAATCTCTGCACAATATCTTATAGCCTTTTATAATCGATGGCAAGAAAGCAACAGCCACAGGATGAAGTGTAAAGCCCGGCGATAGGAACTATAGCCTGGCTTCATAATTATTTATCGCTTCGTATAGCCCGGCCGTATGATTTTCTCCGCATTCTATAGCCAGCTATACATATGATTTTCTGTAGCCTTCTTTAGCCGGCTATAAGAATTCCTATGGAATTATGAAACACAGCTCCTATCGCCAATTTTTACCAGGGAAGGACCCGTCGTCCGCAACTTCTATTTGAATTAAACTTCATACCTATATTAAAATATTCAAGTTACAAAAAACGTTACTTATATACTAACCATCACAGTTCATCTTACGTATGTAAGGACTTAATACTCATGAGTCATGAGCTCGTTAAGTATGGATTTTTAGGAACTTGGATACACTAACTTAGCATTCAATCCTTTCTTATAAGTCGTTTTACGGGACAGGTGTTTCTCCTCCGGTAGATGGTAGCTCTTGTTCTTGGCCATAGAGGATATATTACATTTAAATAACGATCATTAGTTTCGTTGTGTCAGTGACTGCAGATAATGCGGTTCGAGGTCACTTGAAGCTTATCATAAAATATAACTAAATCAAGAGCAAAATTTTGTCCTGACAATCATCGATCCAGGCCATCGGGTCAATGTTGTTTCCGCGGTTCGTAGTGCGTGAACACGAACATGGTTTGACAAGCGCTTCCTCTCCTTCTGTTCGAAAATGTAAATAAGTCCCCAGACAGAATCAGATTTATACTCTCCATCAGGTAGATGCATACCCTTGAAAAATTTAATCTCTAAATTGATCTTGATGTTTAAAGATATGTTCTGGATGCCTTCAGAGAGCGATTCCTTTTCTTTAATCGATTGAAGCTCATCTTCGCATATTTTTCTGTTAACTACAAAAGAATAGTATAGTAAAAATTGCTCAGTTCTCAGTTTACGTACCTATTTTTTAGGAACAAATTTCTCTTTCCTCGTAGATTTAGGAATATAGTTCGATATCGCCCCCCCCCCCCCCNTTCTTTTGGCTTACGGAGAGTGATTCTGAATACTAACTTTTGTGAAAAGTATTTGCCAAATGCCTCTGTGAGGGGATTATTCCAAATTTAGTTTGAAAAAGTACGGGATCAGTGCCGGCACGAAACATTGAATAGTTATTTTCAACGAGTGCACTTTTGACTAGAATAAGTTAAACGCGTTTTACTTTTTCATCGGTTATTGCAAAAACCATTTAAATTCAAAAATATTTAGGACCAAACACAAGCATTTTTACCCTCTTTTTTTCCTCCTTTAAAATTGATGTATTTGAATTCCCATGAGGTCAGAATGATAAGAAAATGAGCGAACTATGCATCCGCTCATTAGAATCATCAGGCAAAAAACTATAACCTCTCTCATTGCCCCACTTTTCGAGAAAGCAAGTCTTCCTCTGATTATTCACAAGATTGAACACGGACAGTAGCGTTACATCTACTTACTAATTGTATGTGCATAAAGAACGTTTCTTGTTCATTGATGACTTTTGTGTCATCCGTTCAGTTTAAGTATCCGTTGCAGGCAGTTAGTCAAATCAGGCATTTTGTCAAATGCCTGGGCAAATAGTCAAATATTCTTACGTAGATTAAAATTCCGATTCTTTTGCTACTTTTAGACAAAAAAATTATTCTTTCAAGTTTATAAGGAGTTTCTGTAAAAATTGGCATCATATAATTGTAAATTAATTAGATCTAGTCCTTAAACGAGCTTTCATCCCGGGATTTTCAGCATGTCATATAATACCGAATTTTTAAAATCCTAAAAGTTAGAATATATGAGGAGTATTTTGGAGGGTAAAATACAAGATAAGTTCGTAGTTTTGATGAATTATTACTTTCAAAACAATGGAAACCTAATAGTTCCTCGTCAAAAACATACAAATCTTTGTAAACCATCAAAATTTGACTATCTGCCTAGGCATTTGATGAAATTCCTAATTTGACTTTGCCTGCAACATATCCGCCGATTATTACTAAGAATAAGCGGCTGAGTTCAATTTCATTTGGGTGAATTTTAACAATTCAGTTAGCATCAAAACGTATGACCGTGATTTTTTGCACTTGCCTTTTCCTCTTTTTACTTTCCCTTTATCTTCGATTTAATTATTTTCCAGACTTACTCTCCTTGTTCTTATTTTCGCCCTCCCGCCATTACCTGGTTTCGTTGAATGCGTCTAAATCTGGCTTTATAGTCGAGGAGTTTTCAAGATTCTCCAGTTCGGAGCTGCTCTGACACGTATGTCACGTCGAGGAGCAGTGTAAATGGTTTCAATGCGCTAAACGATCTGGGTCTCAGCTCATTATGACCTCTCATTGGGAGTGCGATGCACTCCTCCCAGCCTCATCACCCGCTCCAACTCGGCATCAATTAGACACACTCGGCATACTCGATTCTGCACATTGAAACTGCACTTAATTGAGCTCCCAATGCGATCCTTGATGAGGACGGAACTGAGACGCATCTCGCTGATGGCTGCATTTTCAAGCTATCGTGTGGCTCATTTCAGGGCACAGTGTGTCATTTTTAGTCTTCCATTGATCTGATACCAGCATATGGCAATCCTTCCAAATTTATTTTTGCTTTATAGCATCCCAATGAACGGGTTGCAGCGTCATATACTGTGGGGCGATTCTACCTGCAGAGTTGCTCTTTAACAGTCTTTTTTAAATATTGGAATGTCTGTCTCAATGGAAAAAGGGCGAAAATTCCGAGCGTATCTTCCAGCGGAGGGTGCCTCCTCATGATAAGAGTCATGAATACGGGCACAAACTGTGATTTGGACGTATTTCTACCAAACAGACCAATGTGGAGGTGAGAAATATGGGGTGTGCTCGTCGAAGCTGCATAAGAAGCAATGTAAAAGTGGGCGTGATTCCTTTTGAAGAATTGGAAAAGCGGGATTTTACATTCTATCAAAGAGACCTATGTGCCAACTGAATGCGGAACTCATGAGCCGCGGGCATGGCAAGAGAGCGTTGTGTACAGGGCTCATGAGTTTATGCGGAGGCGGGCGAACGAGAGCGAGCGGCTTCGTTGCCGCTGACGTCACTGGCGCTCTATTATTCCCATTCACTCTTACGGCCAGAGAACTAACGAGCACACCCTCCTCACCTCCATATAGGTCTGTTTGGTAGAAATACGTCCATTTTTAATATTTTCATTGAACACACATGCTACCTAATTGTCATAATACTGCTAAAAATGGCAACACTTAGCAGTTTTGTGGAAGATTAGTGCATCCACCAAAATTTAAAATGTTTTATTTCTTGCCCAATTCCTCCCATCTCTTTCGTTTGACCGTGGTATCAAGACAATAGGTATCAAGATCATGGACTGATGATTTCGAACAGCAGCGTGTAGAATTGTCATCGAAATCTAGTTTTTTCATGTTTTTAACAGGGAGTTTGAAGGGCTTCGGCTGCCTCCGGAAATTATTTGAAAACATCTAATATGGCAGTGTGAGCAGTGGCGTGATTTGCGATATATCGATTGACCTGTCATTTAAACCCATGAAAAAGGGTCGATAAACAAGGTGTCCGCAACGGACACCTTAATGGTCGATTCTGTAGGGCTTCAAATTGAGGAATATCGATAATCGATCATTCACGCCTCGCCACTAAGTGTGGGTCAATTTTATCATGAATAATTACGCAAAATAAGCGTATTTTCTTCTTCCTCGCCTCGTTCCTTCTTCCTTTCCTCGGGAAAACGGGGAGGACTCTACGCCCCCTACGCCCCCTACGCCCTCCCTTGTATTCGCCTTTGCCTCTGGGGGACGGGGATCAAGAGGAGCGTTACGGTTTTTTTGGGGCACAGATCTGCATCACAAAGGGGAGTTCTTAGATGTATACCTACATAAAGTCGCCTCTGCTCTTCAACGCACTCTGGCGTTCCGCGACACTCTAACGCCACTATGCCTATCTTCCCTGAGGTTATCGGGCAACTGACACCGCAGCATCTCTTCTTCAACGCCCTGCCGCCATTCCTTTACGGGACGTCCCCGTCGCCTCTTCTCAGGTGTTCCCCAATCTAAAACTTGTTTACTTGAATACTTGAAAACTAGTTGAAAACCTGAGTACTTAGATTCGATCCTAATAATTATTTTTGTTTGTTACAGTTTGTTTGCGGGTTCGTGCTGCTATGGACTCTGACCCTGATCAGCATCGACCGACACAGGTGTCTCTGCGTGCCGCCGTACCGATCGCCGTTGAACGCGGAACGAGCCGGACTCTGTTGCCTAGCGACATGGATCATCGCGGCGATCCTCTTCATCCCGGTGCCCGTCTGGTTCCGGGAGCAGGAGGTCTACTCCGGCCAGAGGATCTGCACCATGGTCTTCCCGCGCTCGCCCTCCATCAACATCTCGCTGGCCTTCACCTTGCCCACGGTCCTCCTGGCGGCTGTCCTTCCCATGGCCACCCTCGTCCACCACTACTACAGCATCTTCAAGAAGATCCGCTCCCTGCGGACCCGCTGGCTCTCGTCCATGTCGAAACTCCCCTCCCCGAACGAGGAGCAGCGCCTGAGCCGTCACGTCAGGGTCGTCCGCCTCTTGGTCCTCAACGTTCTCCTGGTCTTGTCCATGTGGACCCCGATCACTCTGGTCGTGGGTCTCATCTACATGGACGGACGTCGCGAAAACGCGGACACTCACTTCTTCCTCAGATCTCATCACTTCATCTGGGCCCTCCAGATCGCCCTCCTCTCCACGATCGTCAATCCGATACTGTACGGTCTCCTGTCGGATCACTTTAGGACTTGCCTGAAGAAGATTCATTCCCTCTCCAAGCGGAAGAAGGCCCTAAGTAGGGACTTTCTGAACACAGATGGTACGCTATCTCGAAGTCCTAAGCCAGCGCTTAGTACTGAAAGGGATGGGCACCCTCGCACTCGGGCAGATTCTTTGGCTTCTCACCAAATTCTCGCCGTGTGAATACCTTTTTTTCTGAGCCGACTGATTTTAATGCAGAAAAAAGTTCAGTGTCTTAACTGCGGGCTGATTGTTGGAATGGATAGACAAAGCTATAGACAAAGAAGACGAAACGGATATGGAAGGATTCTATCGGTATGGAGGCGGGCGCTTACAATCGACAAAGGAAGTAGATAATAGACTAACTACCGGCAACCTACGAGAGACCCTATAGTTGGTTCATCATCTTCTTCCTTAGTATATAGAAACCAACCACTTCAGTCAATAGGATCGTCCCATACTCTTCATTTCTCCTTTGTCTATCGATTTCAACAATCAGCCCGCTAGTTGCTGCTTAAGAAAACGCCAGTGCCATGTGGTAGCCGTCGGTTTACGCTTTATAATGTCGTAGCTAGAGGGCACGTCTACCACGACGGATATTGTAGCAACTTCAGGTAGTTTTTTAATCTACTATAGTGTGGTTTTATCCACATTTTGAAGAGAAAGAACACATAGGGTAGTGTTTCTTGTCGTTTTTAAATGGCTTCTTTCCATAAGAGGCCTCCGGTCCCTTTTTCGGCTTACCTTACGATTAAGAGAGGTTTTGGTAAGCCCTCAAAATAGCACCATAAAAAGGATAATTTTAGCGAATACCTTGAATAGATTCCAGCAATACCTTTAACTTTGTAAATTGATCCTTGCAAGGGAGCACAATCATTTGCCGCTACTGGAAGTTAAAAATTTGGAGGAAAATATATAGCGAGGTTTGTAAATTTTAAAGTAAGTCTGCGTCAAAAGTTTGTCAAAACCATAGATTTGCTCCTCAATATTTTTAACTTTTTGTAGGAGCAACTGATTTTAATCCTTTTAATTGAAAGATCTTTTTTCAAAATTATCGCTGAATTTTATTCAAGTATTGCAAAATTGTCTTTTTTATGATGCTATTTGTATGAATTCCTGAAACCTTCCTTAGTCACGGTGTCAACCAAATAGAGAATCCTAAGGGAAGGAGTTTTTTATCGAACGACTATGAAAATCACCCTTATTTGGTTATTCTGGAAAGTGTAACACAACGCAGCACACGCCTTCGGTTGAGTCTGGGATTCTCGATGTTTTTTTAAAAAAATATTCTTTCTACCAGAATCAACACAAACTTTGAGTTGCTCAGTGTTTCACCTTAAATATTTACCAACATGAATTTACACACAACAGTATTTTTCTCCGTGCAATGCAATAGCCGTGATGTTTCCTGTGAATAATATTACTATAAATTGACGCTAGAGCCTGCAACTGTTATCAGTAATTTTAATCAGTAGCTAAGAAATACAATGATAAACCGGCACCCGAGGGGCGTGCGGAAGACGCCTTTTTTCTCGCCAAAACTCGATTACCTCCATAGGCCTATTCAATACTACCTCTTCGCGATTAATTTTACGATTTGTTAAGGGATTTTAGTGTCTTTTGAAACTTGTCATTATTTGTGTAGTTACCAAACCAAAAAGAATGTCTATTGTATATCAATAAATTCTAGAGTGCGGCGGGGAAGTAGAATCAGAATCTCCATTTCGTCCCCATTTCAGTTGTTTCTTTTATGTCGTTTGAAATAGCAGCAAAACAAGCGAGTAATTTTTTTTTGACGATCAATTCCATAGCACACTCAATAAAGCAAATTATGCATCTCTGAAATCTTGAAAAAACCTAGAGTTAAATCAATGCCGCAAAACATGCGATTGTGAAATAGCGAGCTACACGGATTCTTAAAGTAAGCCTTTGTGTATGTGTACAAAAATTACGTAGCCGTGGCAAAAGATCCTAAAGAATTTGTAGGGTTCGAAAGTTCTTAATTACAATTTACGCTGTAAGGAATGGGGAACAGCAGAATTTTTTCCTGATATTTTAGAGGAACAAAATATTATACTCAGCATGGACCTTTGGTTCTAAACTACGTTTATCAAAGGATCTACGAAGCTACGGGCAGTACCTAGCAGTGATCTGTGCTGTCTCCTGTTATGTCATTCTTGAAACCTTTCAAATGTTATTCGTCTGAGTTGTTTGCGTCGTTCCGAGGATTAAGTAACGTTTTCTGCTTTGGCTTCTCGCACTTTTTCTACATATGTTAACACTGATGTTAAAAACGCACAATTTAGTATTAAAAAATCAAATTTAAAAGCCTGTTGAAAAAAGAAAGGAAAAAAGTTTCACACCCTTAACACTGTATAACATATGTAATTAACTTCGAAACCAACGAGTGCGCATTGAAAGTATACTGCTTAATTTACTAAGTGATCCTATGGCAGTAAAGCAGAATAGCATTCTCATAATCAGGTTCTTTAAACTGTGACTAAAAGATTTTTCTTCTGATGGATTTTTGGGATGGTAAACCGCATCTAAATTAAGGACCCAAACTCTTTCACTTGCTAATCATCATTTATCATTTTTTCCACACATATCAACTCAAATCGTGTCCAAAATACTCGTTATAAATCATATTTTTTTAAATTTTCTTTAATAACCAATTCGCTTTCAGTAGAAATTCAGAGGAGCAAGAAGTACAAAAATGCCATTCAATTCGAGGTTAAAACCTTAAAATTGCAAGTTACGCAAGCTACCAGTGCCTAATCCAGGATTCTTTCAAGACAGGCGATGTGAATGAAAGAGAAAAAATTACGCGAAAATAGTTAAAAAGTATACATGTGATTTGGTCGGAAATTCTTCACGGCAGTTTTGGTTTCTAGATTTATTAACCAATTTTCATTGTGATTTTTTTGAGAATCCATTCGATCATGCAATACCTAGTCATGTATTATTATTTCCTAGAACATTGTTAGTCATAAGTTTTTACACGTTTGATCTGGTATTATATTTGTGATAAGCCTTGCCATTTAAATAACCAAATCCAATATAAAATTGCTTTAAAAAAATCCACGTTTTTGATCTGTTAGAAAATGATGAATAATTAGGTAATAGTCGAATTTTTTGGCGCACACAATGATTATGGCATCTTTCTTGTAAATGCATTCCTTCCTCTTTTGAAAACGAGATAAAAGGAACTTTGGTATTTAACAGGGGAAAAGGAACCTGATAAAAAATGAAATATGGTCAATCCAGGTACAATATTTACTTACTTATCTTATGAACTTATCTGTTACCAGCATCTTGCCTTCAGCCACCGATTACTCTCAGCTCTCTCCAGCCTGGAGGGAAAAAGTGAAGTTACCATTTCACAAAATTTCCTAAACGTCCCGCCTGTAGATTTACGAACTCATTTATATGTTTTAAAACGTAAATTATTGATATTTTTTGTTATGTTAGTTTTGTTGTAAAAAAAAATCACTTTTTCTTATAACTTTGTATAAATGAAATGTAAGTTTTCCCTCACTAATGTATAATTGTAAATAATTAAAAAATGTAAATATTTTGCGCCTTATTGTTTTTATACAAATAAAAGTGAAGCTATTGTAAAGCTAGTGCGTCAAGTTTATACAACTTCGTATATTTTACCCCTGTTGATAAGACCAATTGTTAGTCTCTAAAGAGTATAGGTTTTTTGCGACCAGAAGCAAAAGGAAAGATATACGAGTCAAACAAAAGAAGATAATTTTATTGTATCCATCTTTTTGCGAAAATAGCAGTTACTGTATCTGCGCAAATGAATAAAAAAGGTAAATTTCTGAGATTGGGTCTGAGAGTGAACATTCCGGCATTGATGCAAGGGTATTGAGATGTATGTTACCCGACATCCATATTTTAAAACTAATGAGGAATACGTTTTGTAAGATTAATTTTTTCGAAATTATCAACATGGCAAAAAATGGTTCAGCGCTCATGTCTATGGCGGTAGGTCAAATTACATCACTTACTAATAAATTTTGGGTAGGTATCAACCCTGTCCGGATTGGGGTTCTGTTCTGCAAGGGTAAGGCTGCTACACCCACCCAGAATTCACTCAAATTCACTCACAAATTCCGTCACTCCTTACGTAAGGCCGTAACTCGATCTCTGCATGAGACCAAAAAAGTATGGATTAATATTTGAACGTGTTCATGCCAAAAGGAACTATGCCTCACACAAAACATATCCACATAGTTCATTTTAGCATGAATACGTCCATTTGAAACAGGGCTCTTGTGGAAATTGAGACACGTCCTTTAGTCAGAAGGGTGATGAAATTGGGTGCGCGAGAGGGTGAGGCTTTAGGTTATCATCAACTTTTTGTGCGACGCGGAGCCCTCCAAGGAGGTAATTTAAGTTTTTTTTTTTTAGCCCTTAAAAAGGGTGGAAACATATTAAACAGTACTCACTAAGATATTTTAAATCACCAAGGTCTTTGATCAAAAGGCATGTGATCCATATCATCAATTTCTACCGAATCCAAATATCGACGGTGAAACTACCAAACCACGTATCTCGGTTTGCGACGTCGCAGACTTCCTGTCATACTTTATTTTTTAAATAGAAAACTACTCAACGTCAATTCGTGAAATTTCCGTGATTTTTCCTATTTGTGCGGAGAAAAATCTGTGAAAATTGTAAGGAATGATATTGATTTGATCTCCTTCAAAAAATAAAATGTGAGTGGAGATTTTTAAACACCGCAAACGAGATACGTGGTCTGGTAGTTTCACCGTCGATATTTGCAATGCATGACCGTATGGTCGTCCCATCATCTTTATTGGTTTTGAAGAGGAAACAAATACAATACAACCCCTCATACCAAAATACAGCCTTTAGTTTTTGTAGAGAGAGTGAGGGGAGCTCTTGCATGTGCGGGGGATTTGCGATTTAAGTACTTTTTCATGCGTAAAAGTCCGCTATAGGAACACGATAGTGCCACTGGTTTTCTCTGAAACGAGCTCCAAAACTAAAAAAAAACTCTCAAAGTTAAGGCCGTAGTGGGGAGGATATTCCACGCTACGCTGTGAGTCCACCTCTATATGAAGTCATACTCTTCATGTATAGATACCGAACAAATAAATTTGCGGGGTTGCCGTGTTTCCAGTTTTTGAGTCTCCAAAAAAGTGGCAAGCCTGTTGATGTATTTGCTCCCTATCTCTACAAGGAGAGTTTGACTTGAGAGATGGACTCTCAAGAAAGCGTGGGATATCCCTTCCATTATGGCTTCAACTTTGAGAGCTGTTTTTGAGCTTTGGAGTTTTTTCAGAGAAAATCAGTGGAACCATTGTATTTCTTGCGAAATTTTACAAAGGAATCAGTGCTTGAATCGCAAATTCCTGACACCCACAAGAGCTCTACTGACTTTGCTCATGACCTGTGCACCCTGGTAAAAATTGGCAGTAGAATCTGTGTTCCAAAATACCATAGACCTACTGCCGGCTGTAAGATTTCCAATAGCTTCTATAGCCGGCAACACAATTTCTTATAGCCTTTTATAGCCGATGACGATTAACCAACAACCCGGCGATAAAGTGTATGCTAAACGTTACTGATTACGGATGCTAGGACTTAGTGAGTTTTTGGACTACCGCTCTCTTTTTCGGTCATAGTATCTTGATTTATTTTGCGAGGAAAGCTCCGTACTTTTGAAGGATGTCTGCCATTCCTAATATGTTGGAGCGCCTTCAATTTCGTATGATACTGTGCAGTACCTCTGGTGTGAAATAGTTGCTTCAAACGCCGTGGCAGGCTGCGGCGCGGCGCAGCCAGCGCGAAACGCGCATTGGCGCCTACAAACCCAACGGGGATACTTCACGCATTGCGCAATGCGTGAAGTATTCCTGTTAGGTTTGTAGGTGCCAGTGCACCTTTGCTCCGCTTTGTGTTAGGCTCTAATATTTACAATCTCGTGTAGTCAGCGTTTTTCAACTCATGACTTTGAAATGTTTGCACACTCTGTACGGATTAATATCATTTTAATTGATGAAAAAAAATATGCAGTAAAGGAAATTATAATGTGCGTTTTGTAAATATTAAGGTGATTTCGTACAAACTTAATGATTTCCAAAGCACACGAATTTCTACACAATTTCTTATAGCCTTTTATAGCCGATGGCGAAAAAGCAACTACCAGACGATAAAGTGTAAAGCCCGGCGATAGGAACTATAGCCCGGCTGTATAATTTTTTATCGCTTCGTGTAGCCCGGCCGTAAGATTTTTTCCACTTTCTACAGCCAGCTACATGATTTTCTATCGCCTTTTTCAGTTGGCTATAAGAACTTCTATGGTATTTTGAAACACAGCTCATATCGCCAATTTTTACCAGGGCATTTCTGCACTGAGAAAAAAGATTGGTACAATTTACCGTTCCTTCGCGCTGTATCTCACAAAGCTTCAATTCAGAGTCAATTCTGCCAGGAGAAAGGTAAACTACATACTACGTACTACGTAAACATTCCTCTGGCAGAATTTACTTTGAATTCACGCTGTGTAAAATACAGCATGATGAATGGTAAATTCTACCAATCTTTTTTCTCAGTGTGTCTCTTAAATTTTCGAGGTTTTATTCTTTAAGTCGTCTGTTTATGAACAAATAAACTTAAAACTAAACCTTATACCATAGTAATTTAGTATAGTTATGAGTGGAAGTCGGCGGCCAGCACGAGGTAGGGCGGCGGCCGAGTTGCAGTGAGGTAGCAGGAGCAGCAGCTTTTTATTGTCCAAACGTACGCGCCCGAAGAATTCGGTTGAGTCACGGAACAGCTTGCCCATGAATTCACAACAGATATGTCCGCAATACGCAGGAACTCACGGACTATGAATCACGTCTGACCTCTTCACAGCAGAGATGGATCACACTGGTCAAAAGCGACTGAGGTGAAAAATAAAAAAATAATGTGTAAAGTGTCACGACAGCGCAGTATCAAAAGATAGATGCTTATATCTGATCTTTTTTGGGGTTCATACCTACCTGTTTCGTTCCTTTCTTCCCTTTTCTTTCCTCGGCAAGAATACGTCAATTGCGCGTTTGCGCCTGCAATCATTGATGGTCCATTTCATTCTGCTCGCCAAGCAATGCCGCTTTTATCCGTCGCAAGCGATTATAGAAACCACCTGCAAATTGCTCAAAATGCATATTGCATTGTCATAATTAAGAAAAATGCAAAAATCCAGAAGTAAATAAAAAAGGTAGAGAGCACCGATTTTTATACTTGTAATTCAAACATACTTTTTTTTCTCGAATGCATGGTGCCAGCTAGCACACTCGCGAGTGGGAAAATGTGGTCATAATCAACGACTTTAGTTGGGTTTAATTCCGATAGGCAACTAAACTAACTACCAAGCAAAGCGGAGGGTATCCGATTAATAGCTTCAATATCATGCTTTTCAAATTTAAGCTATTAAAACAAATAAAGATAATTATTGAAATTATTGAATTATTAAAATACTTATAGTAGACATTACGGTCTTTAGGTTGATTTGGCTTATTTTAAAGGCAGATGCACCTGTGAGTAGAACGCTTGTGTTGAAAGGGAAACACCAATATCAGAGTGCTTAAATTCTTAAAAATTGTTTCATGATCCACTCAATCCAAAAAAAGCGAGCATGATAACTTTCCTGGCTTTTTTCGGAAAAATATTTTATCGGGAGAAACGAGGCAACGTTGGAATGCTCATACAGCGCCGAAACTCAACATAGGCCTTTTAAGCCCCATTATTCGATGCAACGATTATTTTAACGCAAGTTCGAATAATCGCGCGAAACACAGTGCGGCCGGCGTTAAAGGCATATTGGCGCCTGCAAGGCTGTAGGAATACTTCACGCATTGCGCCAAACAGTGCGGTCGGCGCGGAACGCATTAGCGCCTACTAGATTGCATAAATACTTCTCGCATTACGCCAAACGCAGTGCAGTCGGTTAGTTAGCTTAGCTTAAAACCCACATTAGCGGCTACAAGACTGTAGGAATACTTCACACATTGCTCGCTTTAATCGTTGTATTGTAATTTATCGTTGTCGGCTACCATTCACAGTTACCATTGAATCGTTCAATTCGGCGTTAACCTTTTAAATTCGTGTTATTTGTGAAATAATCATGCGGAAAAGTCAAAGAAACGCACCTAATGAAAAATTATGGCTCCGGCTCAGAGGTATATGCACATCTACTTGACGGTCATTTGTACTTTATGCAATAGGTAAAGTACCTAAGTTATAAAGGACGAACCACTAAAAACCCTATGAAAAGGATAAAAGTCCCGTCAAGACTGTGAGATCTTGGCACGAAATCATGCATTATGAAAAAAAAGTTCAAAATCTTAATTAGTGTTTTCCGTTTCAAACTTCAAAATGTCTGATATTATTTGAGGTCAAGATTTTCTTTAGCCTCTACGCTTCAAGACTACAGTAAGAATATAGAAACTTAACCCTCCTTATGATCTTCTTCAGCATACTTTTGTACACTCTCATCTGGTACAGGGTGGTTGCACGATGACTGTAATAGTTTTGTCGCAGTAACAGACAACACATTTTTCGGTCATATTTTTGGTAGAAATGATAATAACTCGAATTTTTTCGCATTAACCTTCAAAGGGTTACCTATTATAACGCTTTCTATCATGATCCATTGCTCTACTTCTCAATTAATACAATGTAAATTCCGAAAATGTGCTGTCTGTTACGCCGTAAAAAGTCAGCGTAACAGACAGCACATTTTCGGTCATTTATATACATATATTAACATTGAAAAGTAGAGCGATAAATCTTTGAAAAGCGTTGTAATACGTAGCCCTGTGTAGATTAATGAAAAAATCGACTAATTATCGTTACTACTAAAAATATGTTCGTAAAATGTGTTGTCTGTTACGATGACAAAACGATTCCAGTTATCGTGAAACCACCCTCCAGCGCAAGTCAATGAATACTCTTTGAAATTAACCAAAAGTTAGGAATAATCAATACTCACTTGAAATTTTAATTTCTTCAAATTAAAATTAAAATCTTCAAAAAGAAATTAAGAGTGCAAGTGAATATTGATTATTCCTATTTCCCTTCAGTTTTCCCGACGCAACCAGCTTATCTGTGAAGTAAGTTTGGTTGCCTAAGCCGCGCAACCAAGGTGCAAGAGTTCGTTGTTGAATGAGTTCACCTTGCAGAACTGCTGATCTTTAAATCATCAATGCATTGAAATCAACTTGCAACTTGTAAGTACTTTAAAATAAATAATAGGGTAAAAGAAAAACATGAGTTTTGGTCCCAGAGACAGAAGTTTAAAAATTCCTCAGGAATTCACCCAAAAACGTGACGTTGCGAGCTTAAATATCCTTCGAATTATTTTTTTCGCGATACTCAAAGGATATGGATAAAAGTGTGTTGCTCTCATCATCATTATTATACGTAATAAGTACTTAACGAGGAGAGGATTTTTGTGAGTAATTTCGTCCGTAAAGAAGTGAAAATTGGAAGAAAGAAAGATAATATAAGAACAAGGAGAGTGTGAGTGCACTCTCGGGCTTCTTGTTTGATTTTAGGAAAGTCTTCTCAGCATGTTTGCATTTTGTTGCCCTTTTCTGCCTTTTCTTAATCATTTCCGGCTGTGCTTGGTGCATTATTCGAAAACCTCGAAGGTAGCTCAGTTGTCAGCGTTATAAAATTTATAATCACTCTTTCCTTAATTATTAAAAAATGGGCTGAGATAAACGACGTTCAATTTCAGAAGACCAAACTTTACACTAGTAACCAGTCAAAGGCTTTGAATCGCCTTCAAATCACGAAAAAACTAAGGAGCATTCATGCGTGCAAGTAGCTCATATCTCGCACATTAAATTCTGCATTTTCAAGCATTTTAGAGCGTATCAAGGCCCAGCCCTGCGAAAATTTTTAATTTCCGAGCAGGGTTGTAACTGTTGATGAAAAATCTGTCTATTTAGTGCAACATTTTTCAAGAAATTTCGGAAAATTATGGAAAATATTAAAAAATATTTCTCGAAATTATATGTACTTAAAGAATTAATGTTTTTGCTTTTCGGCGATTTTAAGGTAGTCCATGTTGCATACCCCGCCTCAGGCCCGCCACATCCCATCTTGGGCCCTGGTACCAGTTTTAAGGTCCGGGCCCCAAGCATAAGGGTCCGAGGGGCACCCCCCGAGAAATTTTAGAATTTATACGACTAATTGGACGCATTTTGAAGCTTCCGTAAAGAATTTTTCCATCAATTTCTGCGGAATAATTATGTTTTTTTTTTCTACTTTCAGCACAAAATACTTGCGAATTGTTGCATTCAAAACATCTGGAAAATTTTTATTTTTATTTTATTTTATTTTATTTTTTGGGGGGGGGGGGCATATGATACTATTTTCAGTTCTAAGAGGGCCAGGCCCCCCTGGTTTCCCTTCGTTTGTCTGTGGTAAGGCAGTTGAGCCATGATCCATTGAAGTCGAAGATGCCCAGACTGGAGACTCTTAGTAGACGACGGAAGAAAATGAAACGCAGTTACTAAAAATATCCCTCTGTACTGAAAATCTTGAAAATAGATAGAAATTTTCCAAGAAGTATACTTCTTTGAAAATTTAAGAAGAATTCTACAGTGCCCCAGCGTGTTTCTGAAAATCTATTCACCTTTTGCGAAATTTTTAGGGTGAATTTTTCACTTTTTCTTACGAAACAAGGGTTGCATGTGAATTCGTAGTGGTTTTTCACGGGTAACACGGGCCCCCTCCGGGGCCCGGGCCCGGACCCCTGTATCAGGGACCCAGTATCCCCCCCCTCTTGTGGCGAGCCTGCCCCGCCTCTGAAAATATGTTTATATTTATCACAGCATCGTAATATTTCATGAATTTTTTCACGGCCTCATAATATTCCACGTTGTTTTCATGCCGATTTCCGATCTTTCACGGCACTCGGCAGTGCGGCAACCATGCTGAAATCTACAGCAGCGCTCCTCGCGGAATAATTTTGTTCGAGATGATGAGTGTGTTAGTGTGTGTGTGTGGTTTGTAGTTGCTGTTATGTGTATGTCTATGTGAGTGAAACACAATAATTTGACAGAGCCCAATTTGCCAATTGAAATAAACCAAGAAGAAATGACAATTGAAGTGTGTATGTTCCTAGTCAGTGTATTATGTCCCGCAGATTTTCCGTATACCTCAAGTCTTCTCTAGAGTGTACTTCATTTTCAGTATTTATTTGTGTGTATAGGTGTCCATGATAGTGCTTCATCAATTCATGTTATTTCCGATCGGGAACGAAGGTTTTGGGCCCTCTTTCTGGCCCTCAAAATGCAAAATATGGAAACAAACTCTAATTCTCCGGCCGACCAGCCGACGAATTTTCGTCCCGAGAAATCTCCTCCAATCGGTCAGCATTCCCCACCCATGAATTATGAATCCCTGGAGAGATTTTCCTGCAACACTCTAAAGGTACATAGTCATCTAACAGTTACTCATTTCTAGAATCCAGACATTAACCATTCTGCCTTGCGGAAAGAATTTTAACTCGAACAGTTTTTAGCCACTTTGATCTGAATGCCGCAATGAATTTTAATGATGTTCTGAAGAATTGCACCTCAGAACATATTGATGATGTATCAAATGGGTAAATTCTTTTATGATATAACCTATCTCCGAGTTGGTGACATTTTTGATACATTTTGCCGGGTGAGCACTCACTTTGTCTTCATCAATGAATCTGATTATGAATCTTTAACACAAAGATTGTCATGAGGTATTTGGGTTTGTTTTCCAGACACACTGCCGCATAGTGAGTTCCTCTCTTGTCTAATCTATCAATCGTTATGAATAACCGCGCTTTACGTCAACCTTAAATGCAGAAAAATGCCAGCTGAATAGCCTGGGTATTTATGCTCGTATAGGATCAGATCAGTGATAAATTGGAATTATACTGGATTCTACAGGTTGCAGTTCAATGAAATCTTCTATTAACCCTTTCAGAACACTATTAATGTCACTCAAGCAGACTGGGCAAGTAGTTGAGCTGAAGATCATTCAAGAAATCCTTCAAATTCTCTATTGCTCTTTCGTCTACATACTATTGGTAACTCTGTGAATGTTGTAACAATGGTTGTTAGCGTATATCCCTATGAAGCACTGCAAATTTTTGATCATCAGCATGAATTTCAAGACTGAATTGAAATCAGTGTATAGTGGTCCTATCTGTATGAAAGTGGCCCCCTCCTTTCAATTTTTTCAGTCTTCTGGCTTTCAAGGTTTTTCATTATTCTCGTGAATTTTAGATGACAGAATATTTCCTCCGCGCTCTCTTTTATTTTTTCTTTGGTTTACTTTCTTCATCCAACCAAGCACCGGATATGAAGCACCAAAACCTGGTTCAGCTACTATTGATAAAGTTGTATCTCTCTAATTTTAGAACGTAGGTGCTAAATTTTATGATGTTACATCTCTCTTTAAAGTTCTTTTCAAAGTGTTGATGCCTCTGTAATAATTCCAAGTTTTTCATTTTTCAGCGAAATCCAAAAATGGAGTTAAGTAAACCTGATCTTTTAAAATTATTGAGCTACTTTGAAGGGGAACTACAAGCTCGTGACATTGTCATTGCTACATTAAAAGTGAGTATAATCTTATGTCACATCTAAACAATAAAGTAACTTCAATATTGGTGTACTTCTATGTTTTAAACTTCAGACAAAAGCACTCAAATCACTCTGAGTTCTAGAGCCGTATATTGCATGTCTCTAGATGCCATTGCCAGCAACTGGTGATTCACCAGTTACATTTAGCTTTTATGTTCACATTTGTTATGAAATTGCAATTGCCTACCAATACTTTTTTCGCATTCTGAGGGCTTATTAGTGGTAAAAAATTGTCTAATTAAGTCTAGTAGATGCAATACATTCTGTAGCTCATTTAACAATGAACGCTGTTCTCTGTGCAGCGGGAGTTGCCTATTGGCATTTTGTTTCACAGTCTGCTTAAGCTCAGTTCCTATTAAAATCACTCCCTCGAACTCAATAACAGTTGTTGATGGCAATACATAGTCCCTTACCTTACAGGAATTTATCACCATTGCAAATATTTAAGCTCCCTTTATTATAAAATTCTTCTTTTTTATCAATTTTATTTTACCTAATTTGCACTATTATTCTTATGGACGAGTGTCAGTGGCACCATCTTATTTTCAATGAACAATGCCATCAATGACAACAAGAAGTAGTATGAAGGCTATCATCGCACCCTTTGATTGCAAGAATACTTACTAGCAACAGATGGCACGGCATATTCTTTTAAACATTTCACAACTTTATTTTGGTCATGAAAAAAACTTTTCACTTTAATTTTTACAAAGATATTGAATCACGTAGACCCCGCGTCTGCCTTGCTTTTGTACAGGCGAAGCGAGACATGTTTCTTGGAGCCCCATGATTGGGGGGCAGGGAAGGGGGAGAGAGCGTGTGTCTCAAGCGGTCGAAAGGACTGCCGAGAAGCAATGGAGAATCCATTTGCACGCTCGGTTTTTCTAGAATATTTTGTTTCAATTCCATTTTCAGAAAAAATTCCCAAGAAGAAAAGTTTTAGAACATATAATTTCACAACCGAATAGCAATGTTTCATTTTTCCAAACTAACTATTAATGGAGAAATGAAGCCTCTCAATCCAATAAAAATTCTCTGGAGCCGCTAATGCGCATGCGCAGATGTGCACAATTGGGACATACGAACTCATCGATGCGGGTTGGTGCTAACACTCATCGGCATGCAAATTTCTAAATGTTGTCTCGCCTTCCGTAATACAGAATTAACAGTCTACGTAATTCAATATGTTTTTAATTCTTTACAATGAATCATCCTGTTCGATTAATGGACTTACATAATTAAACATATCAATGATGAAACTATCAGACCACGTATCTCGTTTTGCGGTGTTTAAAAATCTCCCCTCCAATTTTATGTTTTTAAAAGAGAACAAATAAATATCATTCCTGGAACTTTTCACAGAGTTTTCTTGGTGCAGAGAAAAAAAATCTTGGAAGATTTCAAGAGGTTTCATTAATTACCTAGTTTTCCATTTAAGAAATGAAGTATGACTGGAAGTTTACAACGTCGCAAACCGAGAAATGTGGTCTGGTAGTTTCACCGTCGATATCTTAACATGGCTCTCTTATGTGTAGACTATCTACATTGACTTGTCCGTAAGGGCCCTCTTTGCAATAATTTTTCTCTTTTTCCTGCAGTGTGAGAAAGTGAAGCAACTACTCACAGGATCAAGACCAATAGGCGTTGTAACAGCCAGTGATCCACACATTGCGCTTCAGCGGGACAATTTTGCAGGCTCTATCTCTTCTTCAAATGATGAAGCTCAAATTTCTTCTCTTGCCGACCAGCAACTCAGTGCTCTGGAGAATCTCATCATACAGCAAAAACTATCTCAAATTAGAATCACAAAAGTATTGAAGGATATGGAATTAAGGCATCAAAAGGTAAATTGTCCTTTAGTGTTTTTAAGTTTTTGTAGAGCCCAATATTTTGTGGCTGAAAGTGCCCAAACATTCACTAGCTTTAATCGTAGAGCATGTCAGTGTTGCAATAGCACTGTTGGGTTTCAAAGATTGGTTCTTGAGCAGAAATCTCTCAGATCTGTGTGTTTGATGGCCTTGGAGCTAACATGTTTTCCTTTTCCTAGACAGTTTATGGAGTCAGTCAAGGCTTTCTGTTTTTTTTGAGGGAGAATTCAATTTGTAATGATTCTTGCAGGTTTCTAGTCATAATTATTGCCTACGAAGAATGTCTTGCAACCTACAACACCAGGAATGATGAGGATTTGTTTTTGGCATCAGGAAAAACCTGAAGTAACATCATGGAGTCTTTCCAAAAGAATACATTTTGAGCCTAAACTTTTTTCATGGAATCATCAAGGCTCCACTTTGGGGCTTGAAAAAAGCTTGAATTCTAGGAAATAAGGAAAAATTTTTCTGCTATGTATTAATGTAGTAGTTGCTGGGCTGACTTGCAAAGGCGACCTATAGGAGCATAGGCGCTGACAACTGCCAAGGTGCACCCCAAAATTTGACTGTCCTCATTTACCCGTAAAATCAACACCTTTCAGACTCCTGCAGGGCTCAGTTGCTGTCTTATGAGCCAATCATAGGTTGTATCAACAAGTCTAGTAGGCGCTATTGCGCTCTGAATTTTTTGGACAACAGCCCCCTCCAAGTTGGGCTCTGTTGTTTCAATCTTTGGTGGATAGGTGAAGCTGACGGTAGTGTACTCTACAAGTAATCTACCTGTTTCTTGTCTTTTACTAATTGCTGAACAGAGTATTTTTAAAACTTCTGTTTTTATTTTCATCATTATTAACCTGTGATCCCATTCAAGCGAATCATAGTATTTAATTGACAAAATCATTCCTCTCTATGTTTTTATGGGTGCACTCTTATCTGCTGCTAATATAAGTTTTCAAAATTTCCTATCTCTGTCTATGTTTACAGGAAATAGAAATGGTGCGCACTGAGAAAAATTTACTCGAAAAGGAAGTGCGGAGATTGAAAGAAAATTCTGAAGAAGAAAAGAACCGTCAAAAGCAAATAGTCCTGCTGCTTTTAGCTGAAAGAAAAAAATTAGTCACGAAATATATTGAAGAAAGAAAGCGATCGGAAGATCTTGCGCAAGTAAGGACATTGCTGAAACCTCTTTACAGTTATGAAGTTTGTACAAGTTAGGGTGAAACAAATTTTTAATTGAGGAGCAATTTTTAGAAAAATCTTCCGGGAATTTTCTTTTAAAATTTCTGCGCGTCATTTATAGAAGGTAGCAAATAATCTATCATAAGAATCAAAGTACTTCACATGATAGAGAATTTTCAAAGATCTCCCTAAGCTGTAAGGGAGCCAGCACTGATTGGTGGAGAAATTTACCTCGGACGTCAACATCTATCAGGTCCTCAAAAGTGCTCCTCTGAATTACTTATGAACAATTTTTAAACAATCAAACTTTCAAACAATCTTGTAATTCCATGTGTTATTTAACTGCCGATATGATTTTTTTCGATTATTGACCTGGAAATCAGGTTTGTTACTGACATTTGTATGTGCAACCAAGCAACACAGAAAAAAAGGGAAGTAAAGACATTACTTTGAAAGTCTGCATTTCGAAGTCTTTTAAAAATCACTTTTCATCCATTTTGGTTTTGGGTTTAAGAAAAACTTCCCCTGTACCTATTAGTCGAATTGTTCCAAAGCCAGGCATTCTTTTAGTATTTATGTGAAACTTTTGCTGTTTATCAGGACTACTACTGTGAGAGAGAACCAGAAAAAGTTAGAGGACAAGAACGAAATAACCCCTAAGTTAGGAATTCTTGCATTTATGAAAGTGGCAAACTATTGTTTGTTGCAGGATATATTTAGTTAGTCTCCCAGCCAGATAGTGAAATCTTGAAATTACTAATCATTTTTCTGAATGGTCTCAAAAGGAGGGATGTTCTCCATGAATTGATTGAGGAAAACGCGGAATAGTCAAGGACTTTTAATCCTACTGACCTATATTTTTATACATTTTTTTTTTTTAAATTTCAGATCTTGACCGAAGAAAAAGGACGAATAGATTCTATGGCTGAAGGTTTGGAGGAAGAAAGTAAAAAATCCTTGCAAATGGAAGCAGAATTGGAGAAGCAAATAGCTCAATTTGACACTGAAACTCAACAATTAAAGGCTAGTCTTGCAAAATATGAAAAAAGGTAATTCATAAATAATTTTGTGATTTCCAGTTGTTTTAAATATCCACAATACAATAGTATGCATTAACTTCCTCTCTACCTCAGACTTGTACTTGGTTTCCAAATGCTAAATTTAGTGTATCTGCAAGGACTATTCGATGAGTAAGCCTCCTTTCCCCCACCACACATTACTTAGTAGACGTATATTTTAATTATAATTTTCGTAGGTATTTTTGCCATTTAAAAATTGATCATTTTACCTACATTTTATTCAGGAGTTGATTGCCGGATTTGCGGTTTTTTAATAAGTTTTCCTCGTGAAATTTTGAAGAGGAAACATGTTACTTATTGCAAGGCCCATTACAATAACGAATTTCACTAAGACCCCTTTGCATTAAATTACTACTTGCTACCTAGTCTCCAAGCCAGTAGTAATAAAATTTGTAAAAAAAAAAAAAAAAAAAAAAAAAAAAATGTAATTTGTAATTTTGTAAATTTTTGTAAATTTGTATTTTTTTTATCAATGACAAAGAGGGTTATTCATATAGGCGAAAAATGTACCCAGCCCGGAATGTACGAAACTTTGTAGGCTGATAGTACTAGTTGAGAGAGGCTTATCCCTAGCTCCGTTTTTGCAGGAACCCCAGGGAAACAGCGTTGCCATTTTTTAAAGTCGTAACCTTCAAACATCCATAACTTTCGCAAAAATGCAGTTACAGAGCTCGTATTTATACCAAAAAACGCAAAAAATTACGTTCTATCGACCTATGCAAAAGAAATTTTAATTTGACTCCACTGTTGCCACGTTTCGGTCATTTTTTTAATTTTCGTAATTATTTAAAATTACGTTACCGCCTAAAAAAGTGTTTGCGGTTGGTGGGGATTGAATAAAAACCTGTCGGAATTATTGTTCGTTCGATTCCGCATTTGATATAGCGATTATAGCGATTTGAAAATTCGGCAACACGCCCGACGCCCGATATTGACGCTCGTTTCGGTACGTTTCGCGACTCCGTGTTAAAGCAAAACGCCTAGACCAAGCGAAATTCGAAAAGTCAGCCCATGATTTGCACTTTTTTGAAACTTTTACACGATTTTTAAGAATTCAAGTAGCGGCGGTGTTGCCGGTTTTCAATGACCCGACAGTAACGAGATATCGAAATTTAAGCCCACAAATCACTCAATCGGTCCGATGAGTAGTTTTGGCAGGGGACCTAGATCCATTGCTCTTGATCTCTATACAATATCGATATCTCGTTACTGTCGGGCACCACCGCCGTTGCAGAGAGATAGCAGAAACCATCGATTCGATAAATAAACAATTCCAACTACAGAATAACGCTGAACGTGATTCAATAAGTAATACATTTTTTTTTGTGATTGCGGTGGCGGTTTCCATGAAAACTGGCAACCCCGCCTCTACGCGAATTCCGACGGAAATTAGGCAATGTTGTGAACACCATGTCGCAAATGGTCAGTTTAGGTTAGCTGAACGTGATTAAATGAGTACTACTTTAAATTGTGATCGCAGCGGTGGTTTTCATTGAAAACCGGCAACACCGCCGCTACTTGAATTCTTAAAAATCGTGTAAAAGTTTCAAAAAAGTGCAAATCATGGGCTGACTTTTCGAATTTTGCTTGGTCTAGGCGTTTTGCTTTAACACGGAGTCGCGAAACGTACCGAAACGAGCGTCAATATCGGGCGTCGGGCGTGTTGCCGAATTTTCAAATCGCTATAACTCGTGTTCCCTAAGTCTCTCAGAAAAGTATAATACATCAATGGATGCGGAATCGAACGAACAATAATTCCGATAGGTTTTTATTCAATCCCCACCAACCGCAAACACTTTTTTAGGCGGTAACGTAATTTTAAATAATTACGAAAATTAAAAAAATGACCGAAACGTGGCAACAGTGGAGTCAAATTAAAATTTCTTTTGCATAGGTCGATAGAACGTAATTTTTTGCGTTTTTTGGTATAAATACGAGCTCTGTAACTGCATTTTTGCGAAAGTTATGGATGTTTGAAGGTTACGACTTTAAAAAATGGCAACGCTGTTTCCCTGGGGTTCCTGCAAAAACGGAGCTAGGGATAAGCCTCTCTCAACTAGTACTATCAGCCTACAAAGTTTCGTACATTCCGGGCTGGGTACATTTTTCGCCTATATGAATAACCCTCTTTAAGGAAGTGGAATTATTTTCTTTTGAATGTCTCCTACTTAGCAAGAAAATAATTTTGATTCAACATCATGAAGCTCTGCCGTGAAGTTTTTTGCAGATGAATGTAAGATCTTTATCCAACCGTCTGTTTGGTTCCTCTCAGTTATTATATTGCATCCTTCGTCAAGTTGAACCATCTTTAGCCACTGCTTCTGGATAGATTTACACTCTTTTTGATCAAATTAAAGAACAGTTGTATGATCCTCACCACTGTATCTTTGATTAATGTGTTCATGATTTCCAGGTGTAAGGAATTAGAAACTGAATTAGAACGCTCTCGAAAAGAGACGGCTGTATTGAATCTTAAACTTTGTGAAGCTCGTCAACAAACCCCTTCTTATCCAACAATTAGACCCAATGTACCTGGTGAGTTTTCCATTTTTTTTTTCCACTTACCCTGTGATTGCTAAAAATGTTTGTTCACCTCCAATTCTAATTATTTTTTATTTCTCTGTATCTGAATTTATCTCTTGATTTTCAATGCACCCCAGTATTATGCCTTTTAATGGCTCTTACAAAAAGGGTCTACTCAATTGAGCTCAATAATTTCTAAAATTTTGATATTCCTTAATGGTGGGAGCCATTTCTTTACAATTTCTAAACCTGCAATTTAGATAACCACCATTGGGTTAGCAGGACGAGGATTTTTTCAATTTATTCCAAATGCCCCAAAGTTAAAACTAGATGAATGTTCTCCCCTGGACTATTTCTTGATTAATTTATCTATGGTTTTCAATGTTTCAGGGAGTATTTCTCCTCCGCCTCCTGCTGCTCATGCTACTATGAAAAGCAGTGTAGCCAAAGTTGTGCAACCAACAGCAACTGTGTCAAGTGTTCCTGTCTCAGCTCCAAGTAAGTGCTTTTCTCTTGAGCATATTCAACATTTATTTATCTTTTTTTTTGGGGGGGGGGGACTTGTGAGGTCAGATGTTGAGATTGATAGAAAAGAAAAAAAACTGTCATTTGAGGTGGTTTTCCACTCCTTAAAGAAGCCTAGCGGTGTTGAATGTTGGGATTTCAAAACAAGGAGAAAATGAAAATCGACTGCCATATTCAATAGTCATCCTTCATTGAGTAGCAACTACATAAATCACAGCTTTTAACCCTTTGGAGCCTACGGGCGAGATATCTTGAGCAGCGCAGGCCGCACGCTCTGGCCTATGCATCAGTTATCTCGTGTTGCGACTGCCGGCCAGAGATTCCCCTCTAACTCACTCTATAATTGGTTCATCAAGTCATGTAGCATATGCATTCTGTCGGGAAGGATCTGAATTACAACTTTAGACTATTTCTGATAGAGTGCAGTGTCGTCTGGAGAAAAAAAAATAGGGTCACTGGCGGCTGCGCAAAAACCTAGCGCTCAAAGGGTTATATATATTTAATAAATAAATATAAAAAACATATTTTATGAACATTTGTAAAGTAGAGAGATAGTAGAATATATTTAATAACATTTAAGTGCTGGTTTTTAACCACAATTTTTAACATGCACTCTGTGCACAACTTTTCTAGACCAGTAGGGATAAGCAAAATTATTCTGCAACATGTAATCGTCTATTTTAATACCCTGACTGCCCTTATTTAGTTTTCATAAGTCGTCTTATCAGAGGTAAGACAGGAATATCAGAGTTTTTAAAACATGTGCATTCATGAGGTGACAATCTTCTTTCTCCTATTTAGCCACAATATTTAGCTTTATTTTCTCATTATAGTTATACAAGATTGTTAGCAACCCGGAAAACTGGAAAAAATTCAATTTTCTGAAGTACTTCAATTTTAGCTAACGCTCTTTAGGTAACTTTAAAAAACCCCTGAAAATGTTTTTAAACTTCTTTTCACAAATAGTCCTATAATATTACGGATTGTAACATGTTGGAGCCCAGGGAAATGTTAAATTTTTCTACTTCAGAAACTAAGAGGCACACTAGTCGCAGCAACATTCTGCTTGCTGTGGATCACAGCACTGGTTTTCTGCACTCTTATAAAGACAGTCTTTAAAAAACTGGCTCTCTAAGAATAATCAGGGTTACTCTTATCGAGAAATCTTCATAATTTACTTCCTTCTCTTTAATTCGCCTTTTCTGTTAATTTATTCGCCTTTTAATTAATATACTTTCTTTCTAGCAACTGGTATTGCAAGGAGCGTCAGTTCTAGCCATGGATTACAAACCACTGGCGTCATACAGCCTGCAGCTCCCTCTCCTGAACCACCATCTGCCGTAAGTATTCTTTGTTGGTGCTTACTAATGCCGTATTGCTGCAGCGAAAAGAAAGCCTGCGCTGTAGAAGTTGATCTTAAACCAAAGAAAATAACAGGATTGCCATAGTCAGGGAAAAGACGAAAATGTCAGGAAAAAGTTGAGGTTTTAAGCAACAAATTTTGCCTGAAAACTATTTTCAATTATGCCTTCTTAAGCATCTGTCACATCTTCAATTGTCAGGGAATTCCACCAAAATGTGTTGGGGAAATCAGGGAACCGTCAGGGAATTTCATTTTCTAAATTCTGTGGCAACCCTGAAATTAGTGTACACTAGAATTAGGTATTACAAGGTGAAGAGACTGCAAAGGAGCAAGATAAAAAGTTCAATCTTTCAAAGTTAATGTATCCCAGAGCTGTTATTAATGTTACTGTGAATATGGCATTAAAATTGGCCTTTCTTTTGAAGCTATTTGAAGCTGAAAGAACACTCGCACAATATTAAGAAATGCAGCTCAGGCTAAATTTTTAGAGTTTTTGATGTCACGCTCCTTAGGATACCTTGAGTGAGATGACTTTTTAAAATTGAGCTTTCTATGTGCCAATCTCGAGAAAGTCTATTCCTAAAAGTGCATTTTTTGGCCGTTTAATAGCACTACAATTTAGAGAAATGGCACTGCTGCTGGAGCGAAAATGTGGAGCCTTTTGCTCTGAACTAAGTCAACGCACCATCTTATCTCCTTGGCTGACGTGTGATGTCTCCTCAATTATCTTCCTTTTCCCACCTGATGGAGCAAGTAAAACTGCTAAAAAACGCACTTTTCAGACCTGATTTTCCGGAGATTGGCTCATAAAAAGTTCAAATTCCAACGCTCATCTTATTCAGGAAAATGTAACGAGCCTCATATATTTTTGAAAAATGATGGAAGCTGTGTCATAGTGCAAAGAATTAAAAAGGTATTGTCACAGTAAAAAGTAAAGCAGTTTAGGAGTGAAAATTAATTTTGTTGAAAGTTTTAAAAAAAAGCAAAAGCTAGAAATGATTTTGATAAAGTACTCAAGTTGCACTCATCAAAGAAAAATGAAACGAAACTAAGAAAAGTTCCTGAATGGCCTTCTGATTTTCAGGGAAGACTAAGAGTACTAGCACCTGATGGCAAAGTAATGACAGTACAAGGTTCTAAAACTTCACCTGTCCCATCACCTGATCCGGTTGCTACTGTAGTGAGTATCCTTTGATCCAATTTGTCAAATATTTTACTTTAAATTAGTTAAATGAAAATAATTAGATATTTCATAAGGGTGTGCAAAGCAGGTTTTTTTCAAAAGCAAAGAAAATACCAAGCAAATTCAAAGTCTACTTTGTGAAGCAAAAGGAGAGAAAGCAGTTCATTTGTAAATGCTTCAATTTGATTAACCCGGATAGTCATCAGAGAAATGACAATCCAAGCTCAAGCATGAATGGTACTTTTGTTTTTACAGGTTTAATTTACAAATGGTGTTGTGTTTGTCATTTTTTGTCAACTGTTCAATAACTCTTTTACCATCAAAAGAACAAGATTCAATTATGTAAGCAATATTCTGCTCATTTTTGTACAGCCATAATTACATACTGAACTTTTCAATCAGGTATGAATACTGTAGGCTGAAATTATTGATGTTAAATGTTAGCAAGTTATCTTCCTGTGCGTCTGCAAAAAATATTTTGTACATCAGAGTCAAAAATGCATGCGAGGTAAGGAAAAAAGTAAAGAAGAGGTTGTGAGGAAAAAGCAAGGACTTTTGGGAACCCCCAAAAGAAGAAATTTTTGGGATGATAAGGAATAAGCAAGAAATTCAAATAATGAGGTACCAGTGGACTTGTTGGTAATTTTATGGAATTATCTTTGTTATTGGTTTGCAAAAGAAAGGCTCAATCATACCAGTTCTGACGACAAATTCTTTGTTTCAGGGGCGTTTAAATATGGTTAAAATGCCAGATGGGAAAGTGATGTCTGTCCAGGGTAAAATCAATGCCATTGGACGTGGAACACCCCCGCCTGTCCCTCCAAATAAACCTGTGGTACCTCCTAAGAAAGATGCTTTGTTTGGTCGGAAATTCGAAGAATCTGATTCAAAATCTCCATCCACCCTGAAAACAGTACCAGTGATGCTGAAGGACAAAGTATTACCTGAAAAAAGTGAAGCGCAGGTTCGTTTTTAGCTCCGTACATTCACAATGGAGAAATTTTCGGAGGAAAGGGGACTTTAGCGGCTAGGGGTCGCAGAGCTTCAAAGAGCGCAACAAAAGAGTCTTTATACATACATACATTCACAATTCTCTTATTTTAGTTTATCAAACCATTTGTGGAAATCGTAGCTAAGGTGCCTTGATGCTCTCAAAAAAACTGTAACAGATCTCTAAAAAGGATCAGAAATCGAGTATTACATTACTTAGACTGATTTAGTGACATTATTATAGTTAAGTACCTACTGCAATCAAAGTTTCTATAGATCAAATGTAAACAGAGATATTACCTCATTGTATTCATGCCATGGTCGCAAAATTCGTCCAGGTGTTTCTTACAGTCAAAATTTCTTGCGCTTATCAGGCCATTAAATGATTCATGACTTGTTAATGACAAAATTTTAATGAATTAACACAATTAACTCGCACAGAATTTGAAAATGAGGTCATATTTGTTCCTCTGCTTTACACCATCAAAAATGAATTATGCTATATTTTGCATTTACAGCAAATCGATTTGTTGCAAGAGTAATGTAGCCACTAAATCAGTCTATTCATGTTTCATAAAAAAGCATGGTGGACACATTGCAAACTTTTAAAGTCAAATCTCAAGTAAGGAATTTGCACTTTTTACTCTGGATAATTCTGTTTGCCCAAAAACTCAAGTCTACATAAGTCAAGTTGATCCCTCATTTTTGGCATACTGAAAAATAAAATAATCTATTCTGAGCTTTTAATTTTATGCTACAAGTTGAAACGAATTGAAAACCGCAGGAAAGAAAATTTATGTGAAGCCAAACAAATGGTTGACCTAAGTCTGATTTACACGAGATATTGGAAGTTTTTAGCCAACGTGTGTTAAAAATCAGCATAAAGCTGAAAATATCAATACAGAGGGAAAAGGCTCACACCTAACAATCTCTCACTGTGTATTAAAATTTTCAGCTTTATGCTGATTTTTAACGCACATTGGCTAAAAAATTCCAACATACTGTCTTACAACCTGTGAGTCCACCGCGATCAGTTTGTGTAAAACTGCCTTGCTAAGGCCAATGAGGAACTATTTGAAAAATCGCTCACTAGATGGCGCAAGTTTCTTGCCACCAGCGACCCCTTGACGAAGTCTCAGGTGGTTTACTACGACCTCTTCAAGCTTGGTAGCAAGAAATTCCGGAGGCTACGCTGCACTGAGGATTGGCCCATTAAGGCCAAAACGCGTCTGCAGTTGCCTTTCTGAATGGTTGTAACTAGTGTTACGTCAAACAGCGTATCCCTTTGAAGGAAAATGTGCTTGTGTGTGAGCTTTTTCCCTCTGTATTGAGATTTTCAGCTCTATGCTGGTTTTTAATCCATGTTGGCTAAAAAATTTCAACATACTGTTTTACGATCCCTGCGTCCACTGCAATCTGTTTGTGTGAAATCTGATTTGACCTTCATTAACTTAAGTTTTTTGGTGGACAAGAAGTCTATACTTTTCGAGGTGAGCCTGCACTCAAAACACTACTTTCTTAATCTTTAAGTCTTAAAGTATCCACAAGATGATTTTGGACCTTTTTAATATGTTAATTGCGTTCTGAACCAAATTTTCCGTAGTAGTGCATTAGCACCAATGGCTTCACCTCCAAAAAATATTCAGGCAATATAACTCGAGGTAATCGATTTGTAATCGTTTAGTCATACTGAACGCTATTTCATAGACTTTATTGTTTTATCATCTTCTTGGTTTTTTTCAGTAGAATTTGAGTAATGGGACCGTGGCCTAAACTTCTGATTTTCAACTTGAATTGTTCTGGAACTGCTCACAAAACATTCACAGGTAACATTCTTTTCTACTCACTTATTAGAAAAGCCAAACTAATGCAAAGCTTCAATATCATCGTTTCTCAGACGAAAGAGCAATTTCTCCTTAAAAATAGTATTTTACCCAGTACCTGTTGGGAATATTACTTGCTTACTTGATCTAGCAATGAGAGATCGTGACAGGGACAGGGACAAAGATGAAATGGCCTGCTGTAACCTATTCTTCTAAGCTTGATTTTCCCTTTGACTTGTGTGAAGGCGCTGTTATTTGTAATAATTTCAGTATTTTTGCGCAGGGCAGTACCCTTGGGGTGATTTTCTTCAGTCTTTCCCTCTGTATTTCCAAGCTCTAGGTTGGTCAGCATACCTCTGGAGTGCCTATTTCATCGTTATTTCAGTTTTTGTTTTTTTAAATTTTGTTTGCTTTGAGCTGCCCAGCCGGCTGTCTCAAAATTCATTTTAGTCTGCCAAATTGGACAGAAAATTCATCATTGAGTAGGACTAGAATTGACAAATACAGTTCGATAAAAAATTCATGCTTGACTTTTTACTGTGAATTACATATCTCTGACTATCTCAATTTTTTCCTTTCCAGTTGCTCCCGCAGTTGTTGGCTTATCCAGACTGTTGGCTCCGCCAGGTAATCTCTCATCCATCTGTACATATTCTTTTAAAAATATTTGACCTGAGTTGTCAATGAGGTTTATATTTTTTTGACCTCCTTTTCTTTTTTTTTGTTCTTGTACATTGTATCTGAAAAAGAAGGAGTGACCTCAAAGGATTGACTTCATTATGGTGTGGATAGTATGCTGTATTACAGTTTCTTGTACAGTATCTTTTATCAAACAAATTTTAGATGCTCATTATGAATATTGATAACCATTATATTAGCTCTCTGTTGCTACCAATTATTATTTAAGTGGGTAGATTGACTCAAACGAAAATCGGTTATTAGTTCTTTTTGTATTCTCCAATTTGATTAAATCATTTATTGGAATAAAGTTTTGGCCAGAAGTATTTACCCATTATCACTGTCATTCTTCTTATCTTGATGATCGGATAGTTTTATTATCACCAATTTGTAAATTATTTTTATATGTTATGGTTTTTTCTTTTAAAGTTTATCAATTTCAGTTCTTTACTGAGTTCAAGATGTATAACTGTTATTTAATGATTTGCGATGAGTCTGGCGACAAGTGATATTATTTGATCATTAAGTATTCATAATGGTAAATTAGGTTGACGCTGTATGATTTATCTTCTTTTTGTTGCTTAATTAATGAAATTTTGTCATTATTAGTGTACCCTTTTTTCTTTCACAATTTACTCCAATTTTATTTTTATGTACTATGTGTTTAAACTCCCTTCCTGGGTTCTGGTGTTTTACATACAATCGACTTCTAGACATCGTTAGAATTTAATTTTCCTTCCACAAAACAGGTTCCTAAACAAATTTAACTCAGAGAATGATTAACAAATAAAAAGCTTCCAAAATTTCCTCATCAGTGAAAAATTTTGAACCATTGAGTTCGAACCTCCAGCTTGGAAAACAAAAATCAACGTAGGTCAATCTGGTCGATGCATACAATTCAATTCATTTTGCAGATAATCAGTGTTCAATCTGACAATATCTTTTCCTCCTCTAATTTTCAAAACTTGTGAACCTTTAAGGGAAGTGTAGCATGAAGAAAAAATTATTCAGTCACAAAACGTACAGAAATTAGTTTAGAACTCAATTCGACTTTGGTAGTTAGTGGTTTTTTTTTAGAGCAGAAACTTTGAATTCATGTAGACAAAAATGCTATATCTTTACTTATGAATCCGACAAGAGCAAGATAAAATCCCTTCAAAACTTGTGTGAACTCATAGAGTCTTGGGAACTAATTAATTGATCTGAATAAATCTGGGTTAACGGTTGCTCACTGTTAATAGTTAGCACTTGACTTGATCCAAAACTAAGACTCTTGATACTCGATAACCAAGTAAATAAAATAAAAAAGCACCCATGTGCGCATAAATTGTCAATCTTCTAGATCTCATGTGTCCTTTGAACGTGGTTTTTGGAAGCTGTCTTGTGTGATTTTTCTTATATTTTCACGACTCAACATATTTGATACTCAACATTTTAAAAAAAGGAACTACTTTCACGAAGTCTCTAAGGTACCATTGACTCCAATAACTATATTTGTCCTGCGTGTTTTATTTCCCCCCCCCCCTCCCCCACCCCTACATTTATTTATGATTATCATTATGTATTAGGATAGATATGACTGCTGTTTTTCATGGTACTAATGGAAAAACATCCTGTTTCCCTTGGTTGCGCTCTGCTATAATCAGTTTGGTGCAATACATGCTCCCATAGTTATGAAAGTGTAATCATCGACTAAAAGTCTGATCGAAGTTCCTTTTACTGCAACATCACTGAAATCGTCGCCCCGCTGACAAAAAAGCGAAACTCTACATATTTAGATGAGCCGGGGAAAACATTAAATCAGAGTGAAGTTACGCTTAAATGTCAGGAGGGCAACGAAATGATTCACAAATACTCTTTAATCCCCATAGCTTGTATCTTTTAAATTATATTGTATTTTGGTCTTGTTTTAATAAACACTGATCTGGAGTGTTAAAAAATAGTAAGTAAAATATTCACGTAATTTTGATACAACTCATGTGCAGGAATATGTAAGACATATTTTCATTTTTCGAAAAAATCAGATAAGTTTAAAGTATTACAAGACATTTTGAAAGGATTTTTCTCATTTGAATAATTCGATTTAGATTAATCTGGTCTTTTATTTTTAAGTGTTAGGAAATGTTTGCCTATTTCCTGTTGCTACTTATTATTTAAGATACTGGAGCTAATATCTTTTTTTTTTTTTATAATCTAGCATGATTACTGTTTTGAAGGTTTACTTCTTGTATAAGGATCTTGGAAAAGAACCAGCTCACTTTTTCAAAATCCATTTCACCATAACCCTCTTGCGTCAGTGCATTTTTTGCCAGAGATCCTTTGTCCTTGATCCTGAAATCCTTTGTTTAATAGTTACAAAATGCAATTTGAAAGTAAACTGTGCAGATCCATGAAATCTTTCACCTCTTGAATAGTCAGAGGAGGCAGAAAGAATTTACCTTGAGATCCCTATCTGCTACTTTCATTTTGCCAACGGTTGACTCCGGTTTAAAAAATTCCTACTTTAGATTTATTTGTCTTCATCAGTTTTGGTAATTTTGTGAACCCTGTGTTTTTCTCTCTTGCTAATGATTTAAAGTTGTTGTATTTCTAATACATAAATAAGAGCTGCTGTTAAAATGCTCAGTAGCACCTAACTGCAATAGACCTCTGTCCTCTGAAAGCTCTTCTGGAACTAGCAGTACCTCATTTTTTGTTCAACCCCAAGTTGCCACCCTTTCACTGGGTGTCCCGTTGTCAGTATAATGCTTTTTTACAGACTTTATCCTTCTACCTCTTGCTCTGTATGGCAAATTTCACCATGCAAAAAGAAATTAATAAGATCAAGTTAATTCCCATTTTAGTGTCTCAATTTATGGTTATTTCTTTACCCGGAAAATTAAGCCGAGGTATGGTGCCAGTACATTGCTGAAAGAAACTAAGCAGCTTCAAAAACTAGAGCGAGTTTTAAGTTTTTAGGAACCATGGAAAATAAAAGTAAATGATTCTGTTTGCAAAATATGAACCATTGGCAAGGATATCATGTAATAGGTATTCCTGTTGATCTATTTTTTTTAAAAAAAACTCGAGATGAGTTAAAAATTTTGGTACGTTAAGTACAATCGTCCCTCAACAAGCATGTATTGGATTAACATTTGTCAGCATTCAATACCTTAATGTTCTAACTTCTAACTCATGTCCAGCCAAACAACTTTTTTTCTGTAGTAAAGAAATAAACTTTTTACAGAAATCATTGTATCTTATGAAGTTGGACTCCATTTTATCATATTTTTGTCTGAAATTTCTAGTCGGTTGAAGTAGATTTGTTAAGTTTAGATATTTTAGCCCTATTAAATGATGCCCACAGCTTTTTGTTTTTAAATCTCAATATTTTTTAGGGAATATGCTCAAATAAGTGAATTAAAATTGAACAATTAAAAAAAATCCTACCTATGCAAATAACTGTCGATATAGATCAAAAGCATGTAATAACCTCAGTAGTTTTTTGGCCATCAAGTATTTGTTTCTACAATAGGCTAAGTTTTCTACATTATTGAAGCCATGAAAAGAAGCTTCTGTTGGAAAAAACTAGTTTTTAGATTGGGCTACTTTTACAAACGCCTTTATAGAACTGAATATTATCACGGCTAAGGTGATTTTGAGTGATCAAAGGACAAAATTTATCACTACACGTGCTGCTATAGGGTCTGTATCTTTTAGAGGCAATAATTACTAGAATGCACAAGTTAATGCAAGAAACTGATGCACAATGTGTAGCAACATTGGAACTAAGTATTTTGCAGTGGCGTGGCGTACATTTAAACCTATGGTAAAGGATCAATAAACAGGGCGTTAGCAACAAATACCTTAATAATCGAATCCTTACCACAGCATTAAATGAGGAGGTATCAATAATCGATCATTCAAGCCTCGCCACTGGTAGTATGCCTTTTTTGTGAGGATTCATAGAAAATTTATATCAGAATCACTGTAACAGACACATATTGACTCAATGTGTAGGATGAAAATATTATTGCGCTACTTCTCTCTTACACATTGAGTAAGTAAGCAACGCCCATCAAGTACTACTCAGTATTAGTGCTGCTACATGCTGCTACATTCTTGCATTAACTTGTACACTTACAATGCCTTTTACTTCACAAAGGCATAGAACGTGTAGCAGCTCAACGTAGTGGTACATTTCGTATAAAGATCACTTAGAATCACTTTAAGTACCGAATAATAAGTAAAGTAGTCCTCTACAAGGAGTTAAGCTTTGCATTTTCTGAAAAAACTCGGTGACATATCGATGGCTAAAGTTGAGGAATGTGTACCTGCATTGGCATACTCATAAGCTCCAAGTCTGCTTTAATTTCTTTTAAAAATCCAGTCAAAATTTCTCTTCGAAATTTTCTGTGAATCTGTTTGAATGAGTGAAACAAATTAATAGAAATAGAAAAAAAACGGTTGGTCAATTTTTCTTTAAAAAAAAAATAAAATAAATGATGAGCGAAGATTTGCCATGTGTCAATCGGAGAATTTTCCTTTTTATTTTAGTCATCGAATGTCTTCAGTATTTCATACTTACCGAAAAAATGGGGTTATTGTAATACGTTCTCCTTAGAAGAACATTTGACTCTTTTTCACTATCATCACACTTTTGTTTGTGTATGCATCTCACCAATGCTGAAAACAATAAGCTCCCTCTTTTTACATAATTTTTATTTTGAAGTATTATTGCAGCTCGTACGTTTATAAGAAATAAATTTGTAAATAGTATTTCATAATTCTCTTTTTCTGTTTCTGAACATACCAGACTGTTTTGTAGAATTGTAAATGACAATTTTTTCCTGTTTTGCCCAAAATATTTTTTACCGACAACAGACAAATCTTGCTCCATTTTATTCCTCTAGAATTTTAGCAGACTGAGGTTTTCCTAAAATACTTTTATCTCTTAGTACAGAGGCTGAGAGATGATAATCTATTATTTTTCATGCATTAATTTTCCAACCTGAAATTTCACTGAGAACTTGTGTCTTCCAACTATTTTTCGTTTCATAAAATTACTAGAAAAGCATCTGCCCCAGCTGCATGGTGGTTGTTGAAGTATTTTAATTTCTGCTCCATTTGAATTTTTCAAGGGTTTTTTATGTCAGAATGTTAGCAAGACACCGTTCTGTCAGCACTGAAGCTTTTAGTTCTCCAGCATTTTTCTTATGTTGGATTAAAATCTTTCAACAGCATAGCAACAACAGACATGAAAACTTAGGTAGGAGGTCATGCCACACTAGCAGAATAGGGAAAGTTCGGGAGTTCATTTTAGACATAACTACTAGCATCATCATATTCTTGCAAAATTTTCCTTGAGAATAGCCCTCTTGAATAAAAAGTATCTAATTCTCGATTAATTCAGTAAAAGAGCTGAGCTGTCTTTTAGAAATTGCGACTTATTGATTCATCTCAAATGTTAAAGGAAACAATAAAGTGACGAGTAACAAACGTATCAAACCTGACACCAAACCCAGAAAAAAAGTTGAATATATGTGATAAAAGAGTGCATCACATATATTTCCAGCAGCCTTCTTGCATTTCAACCACATGTGCTAGACTCTTGCAATACTAGCACACTTATTTTTCAAGGTTTCATGTGTCATAATTATCCTATGACTGGAGAACAAGTCAACTATCCCCAGAAAATCGTACTGCTTTTTTACTTTTAAAAATACTTTCTTCAAAACTGCAATTTTCGCTATGTGCCTTTTTACTGGAGAAGTCCTCAATTTTTTGACACTACTAACAGTTCGTCAGACTTGCAAATTATTTTAAGCTGGCCTTGACTATCCCTAGTTTGCAAATTCTATGAAAAGTTTCCTAAATAATTTGAATAGGCCAGGTATTTCAAAAACTGAAAGAAAAAGAGGATTGCATCTGAAAAAACAAGAAACAAAGTAGGCAAATTTGTAGTCTCTTGGTTTTTTTGGCAAGCATTACTGCAACTTGTGAAATTCCATTTAAAAATGTGTAGTGTAACATACTATTCAACACTCATCCAGCCTCGAATGTCACAAAAGCTATGGAAAAAATTGACATTTATATCTATTCATATAAAATATTAATGGCCAAAGTGAGGAACCTTCATCGTGGTGCTTCAAGATTTTGGCTTCTATTTTATTTTTGCTAAGAGAAACAAGCCTACCTATCGCTTAAAATTGATAGACAATATTTTGCTGACAGAGAAGAAACAAGAAGAAAATACACAAAAAATTATGCTGTCTAGTTTTCTTACAAAAGAAATGACAGGAAGTCTTCAACTTCATAAAAGGTACATAGTGTTGCACTTTTGCCATCGATGAATGAGTAACTGGCTCATTTGAGAATTTCAACAAATATTAATTGCTATATTCTAGGTGGTAGTAGCTACCCAGGCCCAGTTCTTAAAAACTCCCGTGGAAAAGTTTAAGATTTAAGTGGCTGCTGCCTATTCAATGTACCACTCAATTCCTTGTAGTTCAGGTTTTTAATGTTAGTTTTTTTCCCCTTTTAAATGCGTTTCCAGCAGTAACTTTTTCCTCTATTCCTAATCTCATCTCTATTGATTGTGAAGGAAGAAGTCATTAGTAGCCCAACCTGAAGAGGTGTTACTCTCACAAATTTGAATACTTTGGTATTTTCTGAAAGTGTGAGCAACTAACCATTGTGTCTTTATTTTGCTCAATTCGCGCAGAACTGACAGAAGTGCATTTTATCTGTCAAAGATTTTGCGATTAAAGGATCAAATATTAAAGAAGGGCCAATATTGACAGCTCAGATCTAAGGCAGTACATGTGAATTCTTTTATTCCGTCTGTCTTTTCTTAGTTTATTATTATTTATCAAATTTTTGGCTGTTGCATGTGAGGCCAAATTACCCTTGTTACATAAGACAATAGGTTTGAAAAAAGTTACTATTATTTATACCAAATCCAACAGAAATACGTCAACTTGCATTTTAAAAAAAATAAATAAATAAAATGAATCGAGAGTAGTTTTAAATTCTACTAGTGGCACATTCTTTCTCGTCAAAAATTCAACGGTGAGAAATAATTTTTTTACTACAAAAATAGTCGCTAAACTTCGTCTTTAACATTGAGTCCTATGAGGGTATAAAACTTAAAACATCTTAACTCTTGGTTCAAACTTATTGCTACTTGATGGGTCTCTGTTTAAGTCGGCGCATTTTTCCTTGAAATTTTCAGATCCACTAGATCTGATTGGGAGTGAAATTTAAAAAAAAAAAAAAAAATCAAGGAAATAAATTCACAAACTCAAAAATTGCTTACTTTTTCAGAATACATTTTTTTTAACATAGCAAAGTATGTATGGGTATTTGAGCATTGCCTTCGGAATCTGAATCTCAAAATGATGAAGAACCTTAAACGATAGATTTTTAGCCACCTGATTCAACCAAATTAAAGTGAGACTTAATTTTACCTTTTGTGCAGAAATTATGTAGCAGCTATCTTTAATGCTTTTGTAAAATTGTAAAATGTTATTTTCCTCTCATCCGTAACAATAATTCTACATTGTGGGCACACCTGTATTTCTAATGATCAAATAAACATCAGGTTCCTTTTTTTCTACAAATTTTCATTGGCACTGTGTATCATGAAAAAGATTTGTGGTGGACTATATCTCGAAGACCCCTTTCTTTGATCATATTGAGGTGAATTCGAGGGTTAAATGAGATCCAATACAAAGCCTTATCTTTTTTGCTCTGGAACCTATCCTGAGTTTTTCAAAGTTTCGTACAGGGAGAAAAAACAGTCCAAAAAATCTTGAAACAAAAAGCCGTCCAGAAATGAAATACATTGTCTCAATCTCCTTATTTCTCTTCTAAATTTTTATCAGATCTGCCTCCTTCCGCATATTTTTTCCAATGTGCCGGTATTTTTGAATCTGTTGATCCCTTTTCCATTCTCTTTGGGATTGGTTACAGCTTCAAAAAAACTGAGCCTAGTCGAGCATGAGACAGAGTTGTTTTTTGCACTTTACAATTTTTATTGAGCAAATGAGTTCTTAAAATGATTGTACCTTTAAAAATTTAGAGATGAAAGGTAAGAATCTTTCATAATTTTCAGAAAAAAGCTCTAATGTAGTCAGTAAGTAATTACTTCTAATTATTTCTAGTCATTTTTGTTGAGACTATTTTACTGCATTTAATTAATTGGTGAAAAATAGTTTTCATTATATTGTACATGTATGCTAGTATAAAATTCTGTTCTTCCTGTCCCAACATTTTATTCTTACTAATTTATGAAAGTTAAGTTTACCACCTCGTATAAATTGATGTTATATTCTTTTGGATACCTAGTGGTAAAATTAAATTACCATCTAATTTGAAGGGAACGCTGCCATCTTTTCCTTTAGTGGGTGCCCATGTAATTTTAGAAAGTACTCTGTAAAAATACTCATCTTAAATTTTCGGAAATTAGGTAAGTCCCTAGGTACATCCCCCTGTCTTTTTTAATTTTGTAAATAAACCGGCAGTCTAAATTTTACCGTGTACCTAGTTATCTTGAACGCTTTGTCAAATGCACCAATTTACATTTTCTTCATTACTGTGAGAATGTATAGATAGAACTCCATACTTTTTCTGACAGTTAAACTCTTAAAGTAACTGCAGAGAAGTGCGCTCTGTTCAGTGTAGAAGTAAACCTCTCGTAAAGGCATAGATACAATATCTAAATATTGACGTATTTCATCATGTAGAAGCAATATTCATAGCCTGTAAGTTACCTCCGACCCACTTTAATGATAGGCACTTATACGTACTGAGAGCTCTGTGACTTAGATATTTTAGTGAGACTTGTAATTTTGTTTTTTATTTTGACTAGGGGTACAGAACTGTCTACAACTGAATCAGATAAGTATGTAGGTAAGTGATATTTGTAAACTAAATTTGTATTCATTTTAGTACATCCTATAAAAATGTATGATAATTAAAGTACGTCTTTTGTGTTTTATTTCTTTCCTTTAATTTTTCCAAGTTAGAAAATCCTTAAAAATTACACTTCAAAACTCAACATCTTTATTTTTGCGTGGGTGTAGAGCTGAATAGACTTTATTCGACTTTTTTTCCCAACTACCTGATCAGAGTTGTTTCAAAAGTCTTATAATCATTTTTCCATGGTTTTTAAACTAAGACTTTATGAAATCTGTAAAAAGTTTTTCACTGACCATAATCTCAGCTTTTTAAAAAACCACAGTAGTCAGCATTTTGTCTCCCTAACATTTCAGAAAAGTTGTTTTTTGTGAAATCAACTCCGCATGTTACTGATCCAAAATTTCACTCCATCAATTCAAAGGAGTTTAATTGAAGAAGTTATGCAAGATTATGGAAAGAAAAAAATGAATTGGAAAATTATATGAAGCCAAGTTTTAATCTGAATAAGCCTTGCTTTTTGCTTACCTATCCACAACATTCCCATCAGTTAAAGGTTCAAGCAAATATGATATGAACAATAAATAGGAACCAAAAATTATTAAAATAATAGGAAATAATAATAATAAAAAAAAAAAATCATACAAAAGCTTTGAAATCAAAAGTTCATCTTCGAAAAAATCACTGGGTGGCCATCGAAGAATGTATTTGAAGCAGCGCGACTTTTTGAGCACGACTGTAATGTTTTGATGCATCATGTCATATTGAAGGCGCCTCTAGTTATTTTTCGTTTCACATCTTATCTTATCCTCATCCATTTCACTGCTGAACCGTTGTTCCTGGATCACATTTTCTGGACATAAACCAACTCATTTGTTCTCAAAGTAATTATAGGTGTGCCCGCAATTTGAAACCAGTGCCTAGAGCGAATGCACCCAAACTTTTCGTAAACAACCCCATCAAAAACTTTCAATTGCCAAACATTTTCCGCTACAAAGTCAGTTGATCAAAGGACTTTATAAAATGCTCGATCTTGGAAGCTGTACCTATTTCTTATATATTATGTATTTAGAGTACAGACTTCCTTAGAGATTTGGCACCTACATAAATAGTGTGTTTAAAACCGCTTTAAGCGCTATGAAATGATTTTTGGGATGACGGATCATCTTCCCAAAATCAAACCATGCTAGCACATGTATTTGATGACCGACTCATATGAACCATTATTCCTACCCTTATTTTTAGCTTTCCCCCCAAATGATTTGTAAGTTGGGCAGGGTCGGATTAAGGGGGTGGCCATATGGGCCGCGGCCCATGGCGGCAAAATGTAGGGAGCGGCAAATTTTGCAATCTTTTTGAACGTAGTATCAAAAAAAGAGAGGAAAAAATCGGATTCAGAAAATAAATTACAAACGAGAAAAGGCGACGAAATCTCTCATTTCCTGAGAGTGAAATTATAGTAATTTCTAATTTTGTCGTCTTTCGGTGATACAAGAGACAACACCTTTAGTTAGTCGAGTTAAGAGAGAAACCAAACACGCAATTTGACCTGGAACGGAGCGGTGAGGCGGTCTGTATGAGACGCATAGCGCCTACAAGGCTGCATGAATACTTCACGCATTGCGTCAAAGACACCGCGGTCAGCAGCAGCAGTCGGCTTGAAACGCATAGCGCCTACAAGACTGCATGAATACTTCACACATTGCGTCAAACACACTGCGGCCAGCAGCGGTCGACGTGAAACGCATGGCGCCTACAAGACTGTAGAAATACTTCACGCATTGCGCCAACACAGTGCGGTCGGCGCGGCGGTGGAAGTTAAAATTATTAACCACATTTATGTTTGTTATGTTTGCCAGTGTAGACTGCATTCTAACCGGACCGATTTTAGCTGAAAGGAATTAAGCCACCTCAACTATTGCCAAATTTAACTAGGCGATTTGATTTTTTTCAAAAGGCCGTTTGTGCGGATTTCTTTGAAAATTTTAAGGAGTCTGCTTCGTACCATGCAAAAATTTACTGAAGCACAGAAATTCGCACAGCCGTTTTCATGCAAGAAATAAAATTGCCCAGTTAAATTTGGTAATAGCTTATGTGGCTCGGTCCCTTTCTGCTGAACGCGATCCAATTCCTCCTCGAGTTCTTGACATCTCCTCTGTGAAAAATCCGGACTGACAGACGCGAAATTTTGCGGACGTCCTCGGGGCTCGGGGTGCGACACAAGGCACAGACGCAAAGGAGCGCCGCGCGCCAAAGGATTCGGGCTCACGGATTGGCGCACAGTGGATCGAGTCGATGGAAGAAGTCGGACCTGGAATTTTTGACAAAAATTTTACAATTTTACGTTCATTTCGTCACAATTTTAATTTTTAGGGGTGTCGTTTATAGAAAATTGTACGAGGAAACCAATGAAACTACTTCTAAAACATCAGCATTTCATACTAATGAAGATATACGCTTTTAAAGTTTTTAAATCACGCCCAACCTTACGGAAAAAAAGGTGCTTGGTTCAAGCATGATAATTCTTGAATTCGCCACCTAGAAATTGTTTTACCTTGATTTAAGCTGAATTTTTTTGGTACAAGCAAAATAATGCTCGGGTTAAACGAGATAGTAGTTTCTATTAAACAGCAAAATTCTTGATTTAAGAAAAAATACCTCTGGATGGCAAATTTAAGATTCTTTTTTTTCTTCAGTGCTCCCCGATGGATTGGATCCACTGTGTGGCGGGGCGCCCGTGGATGGGCATTGGGCAGTTGGGCAGGTGCCTCATTAGCCGTCTTATGAGTCAATAAATTAACGGGATCAGGGCGGTTCCGTTGAGAGCGGAGGATGAAAGCTACAACCTATAATTTGCCAGCCACGAAAAGGTGTGAAACGATGTCCAAGGCGATCAATCGACTTAACCATATCCAAGTGTGCCTCGGCCATCGATAGATCACTGATCGCTCGGGCATAAATCATTCGGAGAAATTAGAAGGCACCTCGTCCGCGGTCGAATCCGAGGCGATAATATTTATTGCCTGTAACAGATGCCTATCACAGATTCGCTCTTTTTCTTCTAATCCTCTCCTTGTCTTCACCCTCAACCGCCGCCCGATGCCACGCCATCCGACAAATCATCACGCTCAACCTGGTGTCGGGGATTCGTTCGAAAAAATCGACTTCGAAATCGATCCGATTTACCGCGAGTATCCGATTTAATCGATTTGAATCGTGACAAAAACACACATACATAAAGTCGCGATTATAGCGCCGCCTCGCGCTCTGCGACGCCCAATCGCCATTGCCCCCTATCCTCCCAGAGATCATCAGGCAATTGGCACCTTCTGATCTCCTCCTCCACCCCTTGTCGCCAACCTTTCACAGGACGTCCACGCCGTCGCCTTCCGGGAGGAACCCAATCGAAGACCTGCTTGGGCAACCGATCATCTGCCATCCTTCGCACATGTCCATACCAGACCAACTGCTTGGACCTGATATCGTGCACGATGTCCTTTTCCACACCCATTATCTCGCGTACCCTTTCATTGCGGATACGCTCTCTTCTCGATATCCCAGCAGACCTTCGCCAAAAGTCCATCTCGGTTGCCCTAAGCATGTCTTCAGTTCTTTTCTTAAGTTGCCAGACCTCACTCCCGTAAGTTACGATACTCTTCACGATGACGTTGTAAATTTTCCTTTTGGTCTCCTTGGAGATACTCTGGTCCCAGAGAACCCCATTTAGCATCGCGATAGCTTTCCTGCCTTGCACATTCCGATCTTTAATGGCCCGATCCAAATTTCCGTCCTTAGTTAACCGAACTCCGAGATATTTATACTCTTCACAGTCCAGGATCTTCCGGCCATCCTCCAGTTCAATGCTTTGCTGATCACCACCGATAACCAACTTCTCCGTCTTAACCACATTTACTTCCATTCCCCACTTTCGGTATACTTCCACTAGCTTCCGCGTCATGTAATTCGCATCTTCTTCGTCCTGAGCTATTACCACCTGATCATCAGCAAAGCACAGAGTATAAAGGGTGCCATCTTCACGTAGCGGGACGCCCATTCCCGAAAAGCATCTTTTCCATTCCTTTAAAACTTCTTCCAGGTACACTTTAAATAAGGTTGGCGACAAACAACACCCTTGTTTCAGTCCTTTAGTAATTAAAAACCCCAACGATAACTCCCCATGCGATTTAACCCTAGAGAAAGCCCCACCATAAAATTCCTTAATAGCACTAATTAGTCCCCCACTAAAACCCCTTTTGTTCAAGGCTTCCCAAAGTTTCATCAATGGCACACTATCGTAAGCTTTCTGGAGATCCACAAACACTAGATGTAATTCCTGGCCAACTCCCTTCTTTTTCTCTATGACGTGGATGATGGTAAATAAGTGATCAATCGTTGACCGACCGGCTCTGAAACCTGCTTGCTCTTCCGCTTCATGTTCTTTCCACTCCTCTTCAATTTTTGCTTTCAAGATTTTTCCATACACTTTGCTCAGGGTACCTGCAACCGACAGTCCTCTATAGTTATCACACTCATCTTTTCTACCCTTCTTCTTGTATATAGGTGACACCCAAGACTCTTTCCATTCTGTCGGTACCTTTCCACCGTCCAAGCAATCTTGCATCAGGTATCTCAACCGTTGAAACAGCTTGCAGGTTCCACACTTGATCAACTCAGCAGGGATATTTCCCGGACCTGGAGCTTTATCGTTCTTCAGCTCTCGTACGGCCTTTACCACGTCCTCCATATGGATCTCCAAGTTATGATTATCGTTAGTATACTCCAAGCTTACGCCTCCATCTTGAAATTCAGGTCGCCTTTCTGTCAGTAAATTTTTAAAATACCCCTCCAGTTTATCAATGGATATCGGAGATATTAAGTCACGCTTCACGCTGGTGACAAAAACTCGATTTAAAAAAATTCGAATAGAAATTTCCAGGAAGTTTGCTAATATTTTGGTCCAAAAATCGGCTCACGGCGATTTAATGCATTCGGGTGGCAAAAATTCGAACTCTCAATTTTGAGGGAAAAAGTCGATTTTCACGATTTATAAAACCCAATAAAATCGA